ATGCCTTCGCACAGTCGTGCACTGCTCAGTGTGAAACTACAGTCCTACAAAGCTGCAAATCACAGGGAGGACACTGCACAGGATTTAAGCAGGTAAAAAGCATTACGGAGTTCAGGACTCTGGTTACACATTCATCCCCAAAAGAGAGCCAGGCTGCAGCACCTGAAGTTACCTGGAGGGGCAAGGGACAAGTACTGAGTCACTTCCCATCCTAGATTTTACCCATCCAATTAATGGTTCACCTGAAGCTGAATGGCATGGAAGAACCATGGCTACAAAACAACCCCATCACCACCTCTCCCTCCTTAATGCTCTCCCCCATCTTTCTTCATCCCAGTGGAAGAGGGATCTTCAACCCAGTCTTGCTGCCTTGCCTCCTGCCACTCCTTCCTCTGCTGATTCTCCTCTCTAATTACTCCTCCACCAGAGGTGGCCTCCCTCACCTAACCCAAACACACACCTCAGCCCACAGTGCCCTTACTTTTCTACTCTATTTATGCATAATATGCCTAGTGTAAGAACCGCGTTCCCTGAACACCCCTCCTGCCTCCCTCCTATCTGATGTATTTAAGAAGACCCACTCAATTCCCTTGCCAGGCCCAACCCACCCTGCCTGTCATCCATCACTCCCACTTCTGTGCAGCATGACACCAGCCCTTGCCACCTGCTCGTTTGATTTTTATTTTTGTGGTAACGTTTGTGCTTTGAAAACACCCTCCATACAACTGCACAACCCTCCTCCAAATTCACCTCCACTTGGCAAGAGTAAGAGCATCCTGGGCAGAGAGCACTGCCTAATGCTGACCCATCCCTTCTCAGTATCCGCGGTATTCATGTTTTGGCCTCCTCCCTTTGCTTGTAACCATGTACTGCCCCTAACTCTTACACAAAATCTCTCAGCTGCGGTGCAGGCACTGCTGCCCTGTCCTGCCTGGGCAGTGCCTAGCCTGCTGGCATCGGGTGAGGGCTGAAACCAAAACTCAGGGATTTGGAAAACAGAACTAGCCAGGGTTCTGCCTCTCCTGGCCACGAGCTGGCCGCAGCCCTTCGCCGCCGGCTGTCCTGCAGTGCCCTCTGCTGAGCCAGAAACATCTGCTCCTCTCGGGTCTCCATGCTGCTGCTTTCTGTAGTATCGACAGATAGTTCTCCGTTGCTCTTTGCCCTAATGTGGCAGAACCACAAGGTCCAGTTCACTCCCCCGATCTCAGCAGGCAGCGCCCAGGAAGAGCCATCTGCCATATGATATGGCGTTTTACCCTTTGCTGTCCCCCAGTTTCTGGGTACAATGTTTTCGTACCCAGTTGTTCCCAGCACCCAGGGGCTAATAAAGTAGAAAAGGCAAATAGGCAAGGTCCAGCCTTTTGCACTTGAAAAGCCTCGTCACAGAGACCTCCCTGCTCAGCTCAAGGCCCAGGCATGGCAGGCACAGCCACCACTGCCTGTGAGTGGAAGGATGAATTTAGGGACAGAGTGCTGCTTCCTCCATACCTGTGAGCAATCGTCAAAACAGTTTTGTCAGCAAAGCGCTGGCGGATGGTCTGCTGCAGCAGCTGGTCTGTCTTCTGATCCACGCTGGCTGTGGCCTCATCGATGCACAGCACCTGCCAGGGACAGAGAATGAAGGGAGCTCCCAAGAACTACAGAGGAGACCCCAATCCCTGCCCAGGGACAGCCCGAGAAGGTAACACAGGTTGTCTGTTCCCACTACACCCCAG